AACCAGTCAAATCGTTTAATTCGATATTATGCAAACCAAAAGATCCAACAGAAAAAGGAGATAAAATTATTACCATTTACAAAATAAATTGCATGTACGAACTGTTACAGACATTACATCGGCCAAAGTGGGCGTCCCCTTAGAATTAGAATCCAAGAAAACAAATCAGCCGTGAAAAGACACGATATGTATTCTTTAGTATCAATGCATATAGACAATTATGGACATCAATTTGATTGGGATAATGTCAAAATCTTAGACAGAGGAAACACCAAAAGTGCAGTCAGGGAATTCCTAGCGGCCTGGTACTCAAACGAAAATGCAATTAACAAACACGTTCATATAGACGGAATATACCAACTAATAAAAAGTAAATCAGGTGACCAGAAAGTTTAAAATCCAAGTCAATAAAAATGGTCAATAGATATCTAAAGATGGTTACCGGGAGACGCAATTATATCACTCATGAAGAAGTTTAAATCATTTCACTTTATGCTAAATATTGCGCAGAAAGGGGATATTGTCCAGAAGGGAGAAGACGAAAGCTTCGCAGCTAAACCAACCAGCTCAGAGCACACTACTAATCCCATATCATCCACCTGAGCTACAAATATTCTCTATTATTTCAAAATAATAATTAATTCACAGTATATATCCCCCGTGTGACACACACTGGTCTCTGACCAGGTGAAGTAAAAACCACATTCCATTATGTGATACATATTTGCTTTGTCACACACACACACACACGAGAAATCCACGATATATCGATCTAGTTGAAAGTCAACTATAAGATGTTCAAGAGTACGTTTTTTGAGGAGACCCAAGGACATAACTGAAGAACAGTTGTATCGCATGTATTGAGACACATGTATTGCCATCGACAATTAGAACTTTCCGCTTCAATTTTAGTAGGAACTTGAGAACCAGGCATGCATGAGCTTGTAAACATTTTAAATACGAAAAAGAGTAGATAATATACCCAGAGAGATCAGTCGACATCTCAGTCGACTGAAAGAAACCGAAAATATATGCATTAGAGAGGTGAAAGTTTTTTTGATGATCTAAGTTTTAAGTTAAAGTATCATATATGGAACAGCACATTAAAACAAAACAGGTAAGTTTATCTAATACCCCATTGTAGTAATTGTATCGTGAAATACATGCGCCAAAGTGATTCCATAGTTAGCTTGTTTATTAGATATATCACAGTGAAGAAACAGTATTATTACATACTGGATGACAAGGTTTCCAACAAAATTTATTGCTCATAATCATATCATCTATTATAATCACACGACCTTGAGACTTGAGTTTTAGAGTTTTCTTTGTTCTCTCCTATTTGTCGTCGTTGGGGTAGTGGAATTTTCCAGATATCGGGGACAGGTGTTGAATCGTTCCTATTACATGTGTTTCCATTCATTTGATTCGATAAACAAACCTTCTGCTATCATTCTCTCCTTGCACCCTGCTGTCACACTAGACTTTAAGGCAAATTATCATCTTATATCATCGTATTGTATGGTTGTGTGTAACTGCATTTAGTGCTCTAGCTAAATTATTCTCTAGATTTCTTATCTTATTTCGATCAACCAATCTAGATTTTGCTAAGTTTTTATATCCAGCTAGTCTGACTGCCCCTGTTCTACTAGTTTGACAGGTATAAAAATGGCATTCGAACCCACAAACTCAATTAGAAACAAGCTTTGTCGGTTAAACGATCAATCCTGTGGAGCCTTTAAAACAAAACAATTTAGTTTATTTAATACCCTGTCTGAAATGATTGTCAGGTCAAATACATAGGTCAAAATAGTAGAACAGAGGCAGTCAGACTAGCTGAACATAAAACTTAGCAAAATCTAGATTGGTTGATCCATATAACGTAAGAAATCTAGAGAATAGTTCAGCCGCATGCTGCATGCAAATATACACACACGCTCCTTATAATATAGGATGGATGGGATAAGATGACAGTTTTAAAGTATAATATACCAGGGTACAAGGAGAGAATGATAACAGAAGGTTTGTTTATCGAATCAACTGAATGAAAATACGTGTAATAGGAATGATTCAACACCTGTCCTGCTAGATATCTGGAAAATTCTACTACCCCAACGACGACAAATAGGAGAGAACAAAGAAAACTCTAAAACTCAAGTGTCAAGGTCGTGTGATTGCTGCTGCTGGATTCAACATAGGACTTGTCACCGAGGTGCACCAGTTCGAGTTGCCACGTTCCAAAGAGCACACAAAGGTAGACAGTAAAATGAGAGAAGAGAATCAATAGAATTTAGATAAGTATATGAGTGAAACAGAATGAGTAATGGTAGAAAGGAATATGAAAGATTACAGAGACTGAATACATCTGCGCCACTGACAACGATTTTGAGCCATGTCACATATTGTCTCCAGCCATTGATTCTTAGAGTCCCGAGGGCGGGCCCCAACCTGGAAGTCTGCATCTCCCTACCTACCTGACTCAGTTTAACTGTCAAGGATTTCATGAATTGATTGATGCCATGTTTTTGTTTGGCCACCACTTACTCTTTTCCAACCTGCACCTATATCAGCTAGTAATGCCCGTCGGGGTGGGGTGGGTGGTGCGATGGTTAGGCATGCGCAGCACGTGACCTAGCCATCTCAACCTATGTAACTTTATAGCCTCTTCGATTGATTTTCCCTCTTTGCCAAGCACTCTACACCTAACGTCAACATTACTTACCTTATTATACCACCTAACGCGAGAAAGAGATCGTAAACATCTGTGGTCTAAAACAGACAATTTCTTCATGTCTTCCGCTCTCAATGGCCACGTCTCACTACCATAGAGAAGGACGGAGCGAACTGCTGAGCAGTATACACGTCCCTTGGTTGATAGCCGGATGTCACGCCTACGCCAGAGACGGTTTAAGTTAGCGAAAGCAGCCCGAGCTTTCTGGATCCGCGCTGTGATTTCGTCACCAATCAATCCGTTGGTGCTGATACAACTTCGTGTGATTACAATCGATATTATTATGAACAATGAGGAATTTTGTTCGAAACCTTGTCATCCAGTATGTAATAATACTGTTTCTTCACTGTGTGATATATCTAATAAAAAGCTTACTATGGAATTACTTACTACCACAGTGCCCAAGTTTTATACATATATTAATGTGCCAAAGTAGTAGGATGACGTCAGTTAGCTTAGCAGAGCAAGTAAAACTAGCAAAATCTAGATTAACCATTCCGAATCAGATAAAAAATTCTGGAGATGACAGTCATCGAATCTAACATTGAAAGCTCCCTGAGTTCCTGACTTTCCAATTCATAAGTGAATTGAATTGCCTCTACCTTTGAGTCAATGTGTTCAATATATATATATATATACATATATATATATACATATATATATATATACATATATATATATATATACATATATATATATATACATATATATATATACTGCGTTCTGATTACAGTGACTGTGTCATCTACATACCTTCACCATACGTTGTTAGGTGTGGGGCTGAACGTTTCAATCGCTATGTTTTCCCACCTGTCCATGAATATATCTACCATAACCGGGGATATTCATGACCCCATGGTAACTCCCTCAGTTTGTTTGTATATTTTACCCTGGAGCTGAATAAAATACTGTGGAAGTCAGGCATAGCTGCACTCTCAGCGCTACGTCCTCAAGTGGAGAGCTTCCAATGTTAGATTGTAGCGTAAAAAGGAAAGTTGGGAAGGGAAGTTAAACACACATTGGAGTGTTTACAGGAAACCTACACACTTTAAAACAGATATTTGGATTTCCGATCATCCAAGGTCATCTATGTCAGTGAAAATAGGAATGGAGAAATGTTGAAGAAATAGAGAACAGAAACTAATTAGTACCAAGGAAAATCGAAGACAGGATGTCAGACTAGTGGAGCATAAAATCCAGCAAACTCCAGACTAGTTGACCCGAATAAGCATAAGAAATCTGGAGAATAGTTCAGCCGTAGATAGCACATGCACTACATGCAATCACACACAAACATACAATAGGATGGATGGGACATGATGACAGTCTTAGAATCTAATATAAGAACATAAAAGGATAGATTGATAACAAAGGAAGCTTTATCTATCGAATCAACTGAGAATACGTGTCTACAGATGTGTCAACCTGGACACATCTGGAAAATTCTACTACCCGTACAACAAATAAGGGGTTATAAAGAAGTTGTGTGATTATAACTGATGATATGATTATGAACAATAATGGATTGTGTTCGAAACCCTGTCATCCTGTATGTAATAATACTGTTTCACACTGTGTGTGTGATATATCTAATAGGTGTCTGCCTTCCACTTCCCGTGTGAAGTGGTATAATAAGGTGAGCAATATTCAGGTTAGGCATTGGTCGAGTGCTAGGTAAGGCGGGGAAATCAGTCGACGAGACTGTGAAATTACATCGACTGAGATGGTTAGGACATGTGTCACGTATGCCTAGTCATCGCTTTCCTCGACAGGCAATGTTAGCTGACATAGGGTCAGGCTGGAAAAGAGCTAGTTAGTGGTGGTCAAACCAAAACATGGCTCCAGTCAATGAAATACACAACAGTTAGTCTAAGCCACGTAGGAAGGTGTAGACTGGCTTCCTGACTGGTTGGGGTCCTCGGGATGGTAAAAACCAATGGATGGAAACAATTGGTGACATGGCTCAAGATCCTCGTTCTCAATGGCTGGTGCAGATGCATCCACTCCTTGTGACTTATGATTTTCAATGAAACTGTTTTGTTCTTCGTTATTACTATTCCTTAGTCTCACACCTGTGTTTACTGTCTATATTATGCACTTCTCCTACTTTCTCCTCTTGCCTTGTGTGCTATAAGGAGGGAGTGTGGCGACTTGAACTTCCGCACATATGTGCAAAGTTCTATGTCGAAAACAGACAGATATATCTAACAGACAAATTCATATGGAAAAACTGTACTTTACAAGAGTTAAATAAAGCGACAACACTAACCGAATAATGGCGGTCCACAGATGACACCAAGACCTTGAAAGATAAGTAGATAACCAAATGCATTTGTCAGTCGACGTAGACCAAATAACTCGACAAGTAGGACACTTCTGAGGGAAATAGACATAGCTAATACACAAAGCAAAAAAACAAATAAGAGATGAAAAAGCCAATTAAATTTTACTAAACCATGTTAAACATATATGATTGTCAGTGTCAGTGTCAAAATATATATGTTAATAATTATTAATATGAACATGGACACCAATCCTACGCCAATCCTAGAAACTTACTGCTTTACAACTATACTAAGAGAAATTGAAGAAGAAAAATCGACAGACTTGAGAGTAATGAAAGCATGTCTTGCTTTCCCGATGATCCTCACTGCTTTGATATCCTCGTCAGTTCCGTCAGGCTGTAGTTGAAATGATGCTTCTCACGTAGGTTGGTAATGAAAAAGGAGGTAGCTCCTTCCAAATTTCTCCCATTCATGCTGGCTGATTGTTTTTGCTGTTGCTGCCGGTGTCGGTCAGGAGTCTTCATCACCTCTGTTTTCTCTATGTTCATCTGAAGTAAGTCCTATCTTTGATGCTTCTTCTTCCAACTTGTTGCTTTTCGCTTGCATTTCTTCCAGTTTGTGGGAAATCAGACATTTACATGTCATCGGCAAAGTCTAGATCCTCCAAGTTTATCTTTGTGTGAGTCTATTTTATGCCTGTTTCCTGATTGCCCACTGTTTGTCGCATTATCCAGTCTACTGCAATCAAGAAAATCATTGGCGATAGTAGGCAGCCTTGTATTACTCCCGTCCTCACTTCGAAGGATTCCGTAAGTTTCCCGTTGTGGATTACTTGGCATGCAGCATTGTCGTACAACTAAATGTTGGATGAGATGTATAATTGTCGGTGGCACCCCGTAGTAGCGAAGTAGTTTTCAAATCACCTCTCGGTCGACGCTGTCGAATGCCTTTTCAAAGTCAATGAAGTTGAGGTAGAGCGAGATGTGACTGTCATTCCAAGCTCTGTTCAATGATGATCCGTAATGTGGCGATCTGATCAATGCATGACTTGTTTCTCCTGAATCCAGCCTGTTCCGGTCGAAGTTTCCATCCAGGGTGTGCTTGATTCTCTACAGGGTGAAGAGGCTTAGTATTTTGCATGGGATGGACAGGAGCATAATGCTGTGTCAGTTCTTGCATTGACCTAAGTCTCCTTTCTTTGACAGTTTGAGTAAATAGCCTGTCTTCAAATCGGCGGGTACCTTGCCCTCTTTCCACATCTCCTCCCGTAGTGGAGTCATCAAGTCATCTGAAGTCTCGAGGTCCATTTTCAATGCTTCTGCTGGGATTCCATCTGGTCCTGTTGCTTTTCCAGTTTTAAGCATCTTAATTGCCTTCAGGATTTCTGTTCTCACCGGATGGTCGATGTCCACTGATAGTTCTGCCTCCGCTGTTGATAGTATTGGGTGGCGTTGTAGGTGGCGGTCGATGAGTTCTCTTCCTGTGTTGTCTGGTCCCAGTTTGGAGCTTGTATGTCTCCTATTAGTATTTTAATGTCACCGACTGGAGTATTGTCCATTGTTGCCTGTAGAACTCTTCTTTCTTTTCGAGGTCTGCGTTGTTTGTCGGTGCATAGCATAGCATTGTAGAACTGACACTTTCCCACCCTTGAATTTGAAGACTATAAAATTACTGTAACAATAGAATCTATGAGTTCATTCTGTCTGAGTATGTTTTGATATTATTTCAAATAAATTTAACCAATATAGAAGAACAGTTTTTTTTTGCAGTGATGATGTATAAGCCCATAAAAAATTTGTTTTTTTTGGCAAAATTGCTGGAATTAACAGAACAACCAATCAGTTAAGTTTTTACTTTCCGTATATATAACATAAGCAGAAACCATGCAGTATCGATTACTGTTAGACGCGAATCGAAACAACAACAAAAATCAATACACCCTTCTGTTGATATATTAGACGACTGAAGGCGATTGGGAGGAGGAAACTTTGCATCACGCGTATGTTTAAAAACATTTTGACGCACACTAGCCAGTGTAAGGCGTATCTCTGCAGTGACCTTGAAAGAACTCATATCCCTTTTGAGGACAATAAAAAACCTATATCACCCAGTGCCCCACATGGAGTCGGAGATGTTATCACTGAGTAAATTCAGCCTCGTGATTGACCGCCAGTAAGACTTTATTGGATTATTTAATAATAATAATAATCTACTTTATTCCAAAAACAGTACTTATAATGCACAATGAAATTCTCAGCATTTGTCACAATATTCCATCTGATTTACTCAAAATATAAATAAAATAAAAACCAAATTAACTAGAGGAATTTGTTTACGTTTACGATATAAATTCAAAAATATTCGAAGTAGCAAATGAGAATAATAAATGTAATAATAATAATAATAATAACAATGAGTTTGCTTCAAACAGCATTGTCGACTCATTTCGGGAATTTTAGCATGTTATAGATTATTGGATCTAATGTTTTGTTGATATAGCAGCATGGTGAGGGGAAATACAAAATTAACAGTTATAACACAGCTCAAATGATGTTCACACTTATGAAAAAATAAACAAAAACAAAATATTGAGAGGATTATAAATATAAGAAATACAATAACAATAAAGTTTGATGATTTAAGGGTGGAGGAAATGGTTAATTTACTAGTGTAAAGAAGGTTAGTTTTTTTTCCTTCACGTTCCCAGTGGAACATAGGGCTTCAAGCTAGTGTCCTAACCGCTATACCACCGACGCACAAAGAAGGTTAGTTAGTTAGTTCACGCTTAACATCATTTTCATCACATAAAGTACGTGCCAAATATGGTTTAGTGGAATTTTTATACTCAGACGTATGTGCATAAAGTCTTGTGAAAAGACTTCTTGTTTTACCTGAGGAGACACAAGGTTGGAGTTGTGGTTACGTAAAGTGGATGCTCACAGTCTGACAAAATTCCTTTAGCGAATTTGTTGCATGAAATCAAGTGCCTATCAGTGACAATGTCAACGATATGGTTCAATGGGTTCACTCGCCCCACTGACAGTCTTCAGAGTTCTACGAAATATGACATAGTCTTTTTTAAGCAATCCATAAAAAGAATAAGTAACGGGTGAACATTAAAGAAGGACAGGGTAATAAGAGACAAATTAGTTTACAACAAACAACCCAGAGAGATAATAACAGTACAAATGACCTTGGTAGGAAGTTGGTCGATGATGCCCAACAGTTAGAAGTAACAAGGCTGATAGAATAGAAAACAGTAGCTGGGCAACTTTATTCAATGACCACCGTTAATGATTACCAGTGGGTAAGTGAAACTCTAAGACTGCAACGATATCATTCCAGGCACACAGAAAACGTTTATTATTATTATTATTGTTCCCTTGGGTTGCTAGTGAAACATAGGGCTTCAACTACACAACTCCACTTGCTTCTGTCTTCTGATGTACTTTTCACTTGCATCCATCTGACGCCATACTGTTTCAACTCTTCTTCACACGACCTCCTACATGTCACCCTCCTTAGACGTCCCACTCGCCGCTTCCCTTTCGGGTTCCACTTAACCACTGGCCTGACAAGTGATGTCACTCAGCGGCCTCCTCAGCGAGTGTCCAATCCATCTCCAATTTCTCCTGCATATTTGTTGGGCGATTGGTTCTTGTTTTGTTTGTTCCCATAGTTTCTTTCTTGTTGGTGATTCTTTCCGGCCATCTGATCTTCAATATAGAGCGAAGACAGTTATTGTTGATAAAGGTCTACAACAGGCTGTTGGAAATATTCTTTGTGACCCGCTAGCCAAGTTTCTGATCCGTATAGAAGAACTGACTAACTTGACCTGTCGTTTGTATTGAAAATCCGAATTTTGTTGTTGATGCAGGCTGAGTGACGAAGATTTACAGATTGGTTTCAGGTGGATGAACCTTTAACTGCATAACTAATCTAATGACATCATAAAATATCTATGAAACATCAAAACGTTTTGGACAGTTAGACTGTCCATAGTTTTCAGCATTTTACAACTTACCAGTAGCTAAACCGTAAAGAATACCACCAAAATATAATAATTGACGTCGAAATTTTAAAGTCCAAATTTGTAATGCACGATGAGATGATGATGATGATGATGGCGATAATGGCGATAATGGCGATGATGCTGCTGATGCTGATGGGAATCGTTCTGAAGGTGGCGTTTGTACAATACCATGAATACCTAATGGGAAGGCAATGACTGATAGTCCACACAGGATTAATGCAACATTGTTCAAAAGCATAGGATCTACTAATCGCGGACATTGACGTAATAATTTTCGATTTGTGTTCAATCCTTTCTCAATATATAATCCTATATATAAATAAACAGTAATAATTGACAAAGAAAGGCAATAAATAACACGAGATTAGATTATAATAATAAAAATTATTATTTCATATAAAAAGGCATTGTCAACACAAATGTCACGTTGGTCCTTCCATACGAGTGAAAAACTTGTGGGGGTGTCACGAAGAGGATTTTCAGCATACTGCTATAGACTTTCCTCAACAGCTGCCTTAGCTGGGTCCATACTGAAGATCAAATGGCCAGCTGGCCAGAAAGAATTAGTAACAAGAAACTTTGACTGGAAACGAACCAACCACATGAAGATCCAATCACTCAACAAATATGATGAAGAAAATGGAAATGGATCGCGAATACATACATTGACCAAAACCGTCGAATGATATCACCCGCCATGTAGGTCATCACTCAAGTGGAATCCAAATGGGAAGCGACGAGTGGGTCGTCAGTGCAAGGTTGACATAGAGGAGACTGTTTAGGGAGGAAGAGATGAGAAATTGAGGGCAATTGTGGTCCAAGCTGAAGAGGACGGTAGAAGATAAGACGAAGTGAAGGTGTGCTGTTGAAGCCCTATACTCCAGTCGGAACCCAAGGGAACAATTGTAATAATAATTTCATATAAAAAAATAATTCCGCTATATTTTGTGAAGACAACTCATTATATACTACTTTTATGCTACCAGATGCAATATACGGACGGAAAGAGAGGGATGAATAGGGCACACTCTGAGAGGGCAGACATACCAAATCCACAATTAGAATACTGAATATGGTGTAGGTGTCTGAGCGTGGCATGCAAGAAATGCTACCAAGGGGAAATGGAATCTTCTGGACATTGATGTAAGCATAGAACTTGGACACTGTGGTAGAGCATAACTCCATTATGATGCAGAACTTTGAACAAACGTACACTAATTCGAGTTGCTACACTCCCTCCTTGTAGCACATAAAGTAAGAGAAGAAAGCAAAGAGGGAGAATTAAGAGAAGTTTGTGGCAAAAAGAATAGTATTACTGAAGAACCATATAGCTTTTATTGGATATTATAAGTCACAAGGAGTCGATGCATCTACGCCAGCTATTGACAATGACTTTGAGCCATATCACCAATTCTCTGTCTCCAGGCTCCATTGGTTGTTGGAATCCCGAAGACCCCAAACACCTCCCTATGTGGTTGGTTGGCTGGCTGGCTTAAACTACCTGTTACGCATTTCATTGACTTATGAAGCCGTGTTCTGTTTCAAACACCACGTGTTAGCTCTTTTCCGACCTGACCCATCCCATATCAGTCAGCTAACATCACCAGTCAAGGAAGACGATGGCCAGGCATGCATGAGTAACCCATATCCTAACCATCTCAGTCTGTTTAACTTCAGAGCCTCGTTTATTGATTTCCCTTCTTTATTTCCCCTATATATATATATATATATATATATATATATATATATATATATATGCATAAGTCATGTGAGGCAACGCATAAAATACAATTCAACATCATACCCAATTTTGATAAATGCTGGAAAAGCAAACAAAGAAGAAGATATTCAGATACACACACACACACTAAAACTAGTCAAGGTCGAAGAGGAATTAAAGGTCATTGCTATCAGCCAACCAATCATCACTTTAGCTAGCTAGTCACAAACTGGCCTAGTTTCATACCATAACAATAATAATAATAATAATATAATGCCAGTGATCATAACAAAAATCAAGTTTTCTGTTTGCTTATCCTCTTCCATTTTTATTTTTGTGAGCGTAAAAGAAAGACAAAAAAACAACACAACACAACGAAACAAGACAGGACAAGACAAGCATATTACGCAATAAATATAAATCATCTGTCCTATATTATGTGTAAGGCATATTGAAGCGCGTCATAATAAAGGACGCGCACATGACAATATTAGATTAATAATAATAATAATAATAATAATAATAACATATTTGGAATAAATTAAAAGACACATATAGAAGATAAACAGAATATGTGAAAATGGATTCATATCAACAAATAACAATATTTTTAAAAAAGCAAGCATGTATACATCTATTTGCATATTTGCATAATTAGATGTCTAACTATAGACCTAGGCCTTCCATCATTCAAAGGAGAAATCATCAACAGACAAGTTCAACAATGAAATTAGGAAGACAAAGAAGAATATTATGACAGCCACGATGATATTCTTGGCAGAAAAACAAATACACAGTATCAATCTATTGGGATTTGATTGATTTCAGTTAGAAAACATGAATACCTTTAAGGTTGCAGATAGAAAACCTAGGTCAAACAAGAATGCCTGATGATTGCCTCCAACCACCTAACAAACATATCAACAGTTCACCGTGCAGCGTGATGGCGAGCCACCTAATGGTGAGCACATTGCAAACTTGACTGCCAGATGGAATTCAATCTCTATCAAACAAAGGACTAGACACATTGTGCTATTCACTGTCCGATAAAAAGGAGGGAAGTTCACCGATCATTGAACCAGCAAGAATGCATCCAACGACCTATGAATTCCTATTTCTATCAGTCCGCGATTTTTAGCGGTGGTAAGCGAGTTCCACCAGATCAGGTGTGAGGGAAAATACTCATCGGTACAAATAACAGTGAGCACTTCAGAGGCATCCGAAACTAGGACGAAATAGTTCTCCAGAATTGCAATACTGGTTTTCATTCATAAAGAGTATCTCAAAAAAACTACAGACCTTCATTAACAGTTGTCTTCGCTCAATACTACTCAAGATCAGATGGCCAACCGGCCAGAAAAGATCAGCAACAGAGGTCTCTGGCAATGAGCGAACCAACACAACAGGAACCGATTGTGAAGCCAATAGGCAGGAAGAAATGGAGATGGATTGGCTGGCCATACTCTGAGGAAACCATCAAGTGACATCACTAGACAAGCCATTGCTCGAGTGGAACTAGAAAGGGAAGTGGCGAGTTGGTCGTCAGTGCGAGGGTGGGTGACTTGGAGGAGGTGATGTGAAGAGGAGATGAAAACGTGTGGGCAGACTTGGAGCCAGGTGAAGACTCTAGCAGAGAAGCGAACGCAATGGAGACGCACGACTGAAGCCCTATGTTCCTCTAGGAATTAAAGGAAACAATATTAATAATAAATATATGTATCGAAATGTCAGTGAATAATTACCTGCAAATAAACGGCCCAATATACTAGCACAACTAATTGTAAATAATAATAATTCGGTATTGACAAATGAATAATTCTTGTCAAAAGTATTAATATACTCGAGTAGTTGATGAAGAAGGCTATTATTGTTCATTGTATTATCTACCCCATTGCGATGAGTGATATTGCCTTCTGTTAATCCCGTTGGACACCATACTGAATTGATATGACATTCAACACCACCATAAGCCAATAATATAGGCAAATAATAAAATGGAACTAAAAGAACTGAAACATTAAAAAAAAGAAAGCAAAAAACAAAACAAAATAAGAGTGAGATATTAATTAAGCTGCAGAGAGAGGCATTGAAGTTATATGAAAGCAAGCATTGAACTAATTAGACAAATAATTATCACTAAGAGATTTCACAAACAGCCGGACAACCTCTTTCGTCCTGTAGAAGAAAAACAAACAAACAAGCAACAGAATTTAATTTGTAGATGATGACCAGCAGTGGAATCCACCAGGATGCGTACTTCGTCCTATGTGGGACTCGTCATTAGGATGTACCTGCATTTCCCAGTGAGTGGTGATGTTCCCATCACTGAGGCTCGAACCCAGGACCCTTAGTTTCAAACAAAATGCACATCCTGGATTCCATCACTGCTAGTCACCATCTACAAATTAAATTCTAATTAAATGCCCATGTCAACCTGGGACTAAGCACGTCGGTCCAATCAATCGACGGGAAACTCTAAAATTCAATTAAAACAAACAACAGATTGAGTGACGAAATAGGCATATTCCATCACTTCAATTAGTTCGTCATCATCGACTGGCTGGCTGGCTGCCTGCCTTTACACCAATGCAATTATGCTGTGTCCTCAAAATTAATCTCCCCTCCCCCTGCATATATTTTGCGTTCTGGGGTAAAAGAGAAACTGCTTAATTTCTCCTCTTTTCATGAGTATCTACCAGTTTAACTGAGTTGCATAGGCCGTACAATTAGGCATGTTTCCGGTCGGATTTCCGAACATCATCCTGCACAGTGGTTAAGTAAAGGATTAACAAAATCTATTCACATAGCGCTATTCTATCTCATCTTGTGGATACATACAGAACACAAGATTGATGTTAACAAGGCGGCTTTCAAAGTCATTTACCGCACACCAACAAATCTTAACTTCGTCTTAAGAGTTCGACTACTAAATATTGCTGAGGCTGATTGTTGGAATCCATATTAAGAAGCCTAATTTGTGCATCCAAAAGAAACTAGTTCAGACATTGTCCTTACCTAGACCATCTAGGTACGAATGATCCTCAATTTCTTTAGTAGAAATTTTCCTAACTTTAGTTGATATTCTATTTACTACTATATCTTCATTATTATAATTATAATTTAAACATCTTTAATGAACTGTAATTCCACTGCGATCTTACTTTACAAATCGATATTATTTGAAGAAACACTAATATTGTTGTTGACTACTATTCTAGAATATTCTGTGTATATAAACATGCAGATATAATTGTAGACTCAGAAAAGGAAATCATCGAAAAGGATATTCTTTGCTCAATTATTTTGTGTTTTATAGATATCTGAATGCATATTTTCGCTAGATAGCTTTTATATCACTTTTAGGTATAAAGACAAGCGATATGTTTTGCATTATTGACACTAGTCAGTAACTAGTGTAATGTGTGTGTAGTCATATCTTTGGTGCAGACTGAATTCTATCAGTCAGTCAAGCTTGCCACCATGTGGCCACCATGCCATTAGGTGGCTCGCCATCATCGTGCACTGTAAATTGATGGTCTAAGATGGTTGGAGATAGGGTGTGAAATTAAGAAGTTGAAAGTCATCAAAACAATTAACTAATAGATGTTGGTAACAAGACGTATCGGTTATGAAGGAGGAAGGGTGAATACTAATTAAAGAATTCAAGATAATTTTAATTCACAGGCGTTAGCAACAAGTTATTACATAATCAAGAAATGCCTAACATAGCAATGATGACTAAGAAAAATGTGATAATTCAAAAGAATTACACAAAATACAAACAAGTTAATAGAATTAGCTAGAATTGTAAAAAAATCAACAAAATCATCAAAATATAGTTACAAGGTGAGGGGAAAATTGTATTTAAAAACTTAATAAATATTATGCAGTTGACTATGACAAACAAAGGGCCTGTACTAACAACTTCTTTTGAACTAACACACAGATTTAGCTTGTTCAGATGAATTCCAATTGCCTCTGTTGTATGTATGTAAAAGTCGTACTCGTTGATCATGAGATTTGGATCGATTGAAATACGATAAATAACTTTGAACGCTTTGTTAGAGTCGACTTGATGAATAGACATAAACAAGAACGTATTACTCGACAAATAATTCCGACGAAAATGGAGATGGACTGGATACACGCTGAGAAGACCATCAGGTGACATAAAACGCCTGGTAGACCATCGCTTGAGTGGAACCGAAGTGAGAAATGACAAGTTGGTGATCGTGTGAAGATGGATGAGAGCCGATGTCCAGTTGTAGGGCTAGCTGGAAAAGGACTACAGACAACACGACGGAGTGAAGATGTGCTGTTTCAGCTCTAACATTAATACTGATAATTGGATATTTGAGGTTTAGAATGGCTAACAGGTGCCTGTTATCACCAATGATATTCCTAATTGTGATGGACTGGATTATGCATCAGACAGTGGGAAAAGAGAAGACAGGGATATCCTGAACCGACGTGAAGAACCTAGAAGACCTGGATTTCGCGCATGGATGATTTATGTTTGATGTCACACAAAATCGAAGACTTACAAGCGAAAACCGACAAACTGGTTGAAGAGGCTGGCAGCAAAGACAGGACTCCAGGTGAACATAGACAAGACGGAGGTTATGAAAATAACCAACCAACCAACCAACAACAACAACAGCAGCAGCAACATCCAGCGCCAATCACCATCAACGGGAGGGATTTGAAAGAGGTTACTTCATTCACTTATCCAGCTAGGGAGCATTGTCTCAACAACACGAGGAACGGACGACGATGTCAAATCGAGCGAGATTCGGGAAGCCGAGGAACACATTCATCAACCTGAAACCAATCTGGAAATCTTCCGCTGTCACTCAGCCTGCATCAACAACAAAATTCGGATTTTCAATACAAACGTCAAACAAGTTCTTCTTTATGCATCAGAAACTTGGCGGTGGGTCACAAAGAATATTTCCAACAGCCTGTTGCAGACCTTTATCAATAGCTGTCTTCGTTCTATACTCAAGATCAGATGATCGGAAAGATTCACCAACAAGAAACTATGGGAAGAAACAAAACAAGAACCAACCGCCCAACAAATATGCAGGAGAAAGTGGAGATGGATTGGACACTCGCTGAGTAGGCCGTTGGGTGACATCCCGCGTCAGGCCAGTGCTCGAGTGGAACCCGAAAGGAAAGCAACGAGTGGGACGTCGAAGAGTGACATGGAGGAGATCGTGTGAAGAAAAGTTGAAACAGTATGGAGTAACATGGATGCAGGTGAAAAGTACATCAGAAGATAGAAGCAAGTGGAGACGTGTATTTGAAGCCCTATGTTCCACTAGGAACCCAACGGAACATTAATAGTAATAATAATAAACAGGCATTCTACCTTCTATGTATAATGTATAGAAATATAGTGACTTGATGTGGGAAACATTTTTCAACCATTCCACAGCAGCCTCTACACACTTACACAAATTCGTACTCATAGCGTAGTCTTCCTTGATGAAATGTACCAAAATTCTTTAAGAATAACTGTTTTATGCTATTGGGATTTAACGCACACACACACAAAAGAACAAATTTTCTAGCTAAAGGTCATCATCTCAGTATATAACACCACATATGTCTATGCACAAGAATAGTCTTCCAAATATAGTTCACTGATATTTATAGTGAAAATGTACAACAGCAGCCCACATGCCTAATCGCTCTCTCTCTCTCTCTGTCTCTTTCTCTCTGTACTACATCAAATGACGTGATCACTATTCATACGCATTCATACATAGATACATACATACACACGATTGACAAAGTAATTTCCATATTTATCAGATGGTAAAAATATACTTCCATTAATTCATGATGATAAACTCAGTTGACTTTTGTTCAATGAACAAATATTTCCCCATTTAACGACTTCATTTCCAACCAGCTGGACAACAGTCGTATTTATATTACGTAAAAACGGAGGAAGGCATTATTGAGTGGCACCAGGAAATGCTCAGTGGTCACAGTATTGCACATATGATGACAAGAATAAAGATAATTAAAATGATGTACTACTAAGGGGCAAGGATTGAGGTAGAGTTGAACTGGAGGAATTAAAAAACTTTTTATTCAAGTATTGATTTGTAGGGATATCGTTGACTGGTTACAGGATTTCATCATATGCTGACATTGGTTAAAGAACCATTGGAAAACCTGGTAGTACTGGACATTGGTTTCGTCCTAGTTTGAGACTTTTCATCAGTACGCAACCACACTGCGGGGTTCAAACCCAGGACCTTATGGTCACAAGGCGAGCTCGTATACCATTAAGCTACTGGGACCCGATCCAATGGCCACTTCATGAATTCTAACTTCTGCCAATTCACGAAATAGTGCAACCACTAACCAATGTCTTCGGCGAGTATTTGTCCTCACACCCAACCTGCTGCACCCTACTGGTCACGACTTCCCAGTGGGTGCGTACTGTGAAGAGTCCCAAACTAGGACGAAACAGCTATCTAGTACTCCCAGGTTTTCCAATGGTTCTCTAAACAATGTCAGCTCATGATGAAATCCTGTAACCAAAAAACTTTTGAATTTTCAAGTGTTGGTTTGTCAGGATTAGATTTGTTATTACGAGTTTGACCACCCGATTGACATCAGTTAGAGAAACATTGAAAAGCAGCCCACAAGGAGTACCGGAAAGCTGCTTCATCTTACTCTGGGAATCATCGGCAGCACGCACACACCCCAGGGGGTTCGAACGTAGGACCTACTGGTTACAAGGCAAGCTAGCTGGCTCGTATACCATTCAACCACTAAGACCCAACTCCTCAATGGCCAGGCCATGAATTCTAACTTCTACTAATTCGTGATTTAGCGCGACCACAAACCAACCAATGTCATTGGTGGGACACGCATCCTCATAATTGGCTGGATGGACCTCACTGGTCACGACTTCTCTTTAGAAGTCCAGGAACCTCTGTCCTATAGCCAGTCACTCACTAGTGAGCATCAGAATAATTTTCAAGACTTG